GGCACTCACTCTTGCGATGGCCCGGCCTATTGCAAGCAAAGCAGCGCCCCTTAAACGGCGCGGCAGCTGCATTCGTCGCAACGGCATGTACGGTGGCGTGCTCGATCGGTCCCCGAGGGCGATGTCCGTAATAGGACCCCAGTCTCGGACGGCGCAAAATGTCGATTTTCTCGGCGAGCGCGAGAACCTCGTTGAATTCCGCGTAGCATGATTTCGTGCGAAATGTCCGGCTTCAGCCCTCCGACGTAATGGTCCACCCGCTCCGCTTCGTGCATGTAGCCGACTTGCTCGCATAATGCGAGAAAACCGCTCGTATAGTCTTGAACCAACCCGAGCTGCCGCCAAGTACGCAGTCTCTGACGCGCCGAAATAGAAGCCGCGATCGTCTCAAAGCGTGCCCGAAGCCCTGTGCACCACGCATCCCACGTGCTGTACAGGGCGGTTTCGCAGAATGAACTCCAGGTGACGGCTGGTTCCGTGGGCCCTTCCTCTTGCGACGGTGGCTCGTAGGCGCGTGGCGACATCACGATGACTCGCCACCAGTCCATGGCGGGGCCCCTCAGCAGCGAGACGGCGTATCTGATCTTCGCTGCGTCCGAGTCGACGTAGTTTGCGTCGAAAAATACGTTCATCGTGAAAACCCACGACTGAACCGTCGGACCTCCACGCTGACTCGGGTCGAAACAGGGCGGGCGCTGCGGCTTTAGTGGCATTGGCGTCATGATGGCGTGGTCGCCACTTGTCGCCGCAAATTCCACGTGCCGACGGGCTTCGCGAGGTTCCCGTGGGCTTGGCGCGACCCTGTTCCTCTCCATGACCGGCATCGAGTGGGCGGCGCCATCACTGGCTGCGCCTGAGCGCTGTCCCACGCTGTCGTTCTGTGTTGGTGTGCCTGATGAAATGGCGACCGGCTCCTCCGATTGTGCAGGTGCATTTGCAGGTGCGTGTGGTGGCGCCGGAGTATTCACTGTGGATTGCTGACGCGCGGAGTCACGTTCCGCCGTGAGCGTCGCAATTTAGAGCGCCGATTCTTCGACTTGGCGCACGAGACGGTCGAGTTGCTCCTGCGTTAGTGTCGCGAGAGTAAATTCGGCCATGGCGGGGGGTGTCGGGCAAGCTCAGCGAGAGCCTCTGTCGTGGCCGTGCGTGCTTACGAGAGAGCACTACGAGCGGCGGTGCTGTCTCGCTGAGAGACGTCTACCCCCCTCCAAAAAATTGAGATAGTGGGGAAGCGAAGATGTGGGTGCGGTCCGAGAAGAGATCGTAGGCTCTGAATACCAAGTGTTACAAGTGCAATTGAGTGAGCGAGCGAGAATTGCACTATCGAAGCAAGAGTACAATGAGCGAAGGCATGAGCGAAGAATATATAGCGAAACTATAGTGGTAACGGTAATGAACTGTGGGTGACGCGCGACGGGCCTGGAACCGAGGTTTGGGAAAATGTCGAGGCGGAGGCCCGGAGCGCGGGTTACCCGCCGAGCCGTGAGGTCGGGGTGCGACATGCGAAGGTGGCGGGAGGATTGTCGATGCGAGGGTTGCGAGTGGTAACGGTGCGCGAAGTAAGGAAAAGGAATTTTCCTTAGAGTCGCGAAGGAATGTCAATGTTAGAAAATTCGTGGATAGATACAATGGTTTCGTTCGCACTTAGGGTACGTTCCTGTGGAGACACTTGTGTCTCAATCCCCTTTTTTCCGAGTCGCGTCTACACATTTTTTCAATCTCGCGTCACAAAAAATGAGTGTATCACGAAACTGTGCGACCAGGCGAAATTTACAGCTGTGCTCATTTGATTGGATTTCAAACTTGACTGAACACCTGCTTCTTCAACTGTCTGGTTCGGGTGGTGTTTTGACGAGCGGAACTTTTTTCCGCGACTATGGAATGTCCAGGTGCATTGACATTTCGAACCGCGTACAGAGTTGTTGACAATGACGGGTCGATACGCAACTCGTCCGCGACATCAGCGCGTTTCACGCTGACAAATGAAAAATACATTAAAAGTCGCACAAGGGCGACACGCGTTTGTGACATTGTACGTTATAAGCTGGTTTTACGCGTCACAAAAGGATTGAGACACAAGTGTCTCCACAGGAACGCACCCTTATTCCAATTCGTGAAGGGTATGGCTCGCCCGTTGGTCACATTCGTGCCACGTGGAAGCTGCAACGAATGGTGGTGAACAGAGACTTTGACTGAACCAACCAGTGGTGTCCCGACAAGACAGTTACTGTCGCTGTCGCAGCTCGATCAGAACATACTGTACAGTACCAGAAGCAGGGTGCGTCGGCAGCTCCACAGGTTGCACTGCTCACGAAGCTCGTTGAGGCACTTCGTTCATAGATTTCGCCGACGCACCAGCACTAACCATCATCTCTCGTGCGAAGGCTCCGGATCAGAAATCCTTCGCTACATTGGAAGGCGTGCGTGGCGAAGCGAATTAATTATCTCCTGGGTAACCGACATCGAGCCATCTGACGTCTGTAGTCCACCATGTGGCTCGGTGGTACCGATCAGATCATCTGATCCCTTTCGTGGTACCCATCTTCCCTACGTGGGTACCCGTCAGGTGTGCGCGAATTCCCTGACTGGTACCGCGACATTTCAACCGAGCTGTACACCGTACAACTAGTGTTTCAATGCGTTTTTCAGTAGACTGTCTTAACGTTAACAATCTCTTTAGTGAACATAAATACCCTTGAACATAAATGTTGGAACGTGCCTTACACTGGACAGAGTGCAACCTAGAAATAAATCGACTCCCCTTATCAAATCCTCACTTTACCTTCGAACCCTCGAAAGCTCACACTACTGAGCAATAAGTAGTGTGAATCTCGCAACCATGTTTTGCAGCGCTCAATCGGATATTCGAACACAATTTATAGAACCGCAGAACATGTAACCCCATAGCTAAATATAATATCAGAAATAATTAATACGAGCATTCTTGGGATTTTTGAAAAAAAAATACAAAGAAATTAAGTTTACCTCAAATCATTATACATATTATGTGTAAGATGATTGTATGTTATAGAAGCTTTTTTCTATTTATGTTGATGCAATATATCAGATTTCCGTTATATTTTGACATGTAAGTTTGTGGATTTTTTCGATTTTAAATAACATACACAATGAATGTTTTCTTTAAGCATGTTGCTCTTTTTCTACACTATATTATAGTTCATGCGTTTGATGTATTGACTCGATTAGTGGCACTTCGGGCTTCTAAGTATATTATACTTGTAAACGTTGATACAATATACTGAAAAAAGGCATTGCGGCCCTTGTCGTACGGTGTACAACTCGGTTGAAATGTTGCGGTACCAGTCAGGGAATTCACGCACAGTTGATGGGTACCACGCAGGGAAGATGGGTACCACGAAGGGAAGATGGGTACCACAAAGGGGATCGGATGATCTGATGGGTACCATTTAGCCGCGTGATGGACTACGGACGTCAACGGGCTCAATGTTGGTTACTTAAAAGATAATTACCCGAGTTATGATCACAAAGGCCACCTACCTTCCTGACGCGGCGCGAGTCCGTCGTATGCAGTCCGTTTTTCACGGGAGCACGTACTACCTACCACTCACTCGTTGCCATTTCTTCTCACCCCGGCCCCCCGTGTATATGTCTCAGGTCGCATCTGTTTACAGCTATTTTGCACCGTTCCCAAATTGCGGGCCGCGAGGGTCAAGTTTTTAAAACTTGACGAAGTTGAGTGTCCAAGCTTTTGAAAGTCACGCACTTGCAATTTGGGACTTGCGAAGACAGATTCACTCACCAGGGGGAAAACCGAGGGTTGGCTGGGTCTCGCGAAAAAAACGAACCTAGACGAAATCGGAAACTCTCGCCAAAGCCCACACCAGAAAAACTCCCTCTGGTCAACTTTTAAAAGCATGAACAATTTGGGCCGCCGGCTTTAAATAATCGCGTTCTTTTTGTACTTGCTAGTTTAGACCCGTTGATGTTGTACTACTGCTCGCAACGGAGCGTATCAGCTGGAATCAGTACTTGCCGCTGATCAGCTTTCCATAGAAACTTTACTACAGCGTCTGATGCTCGCCTTGTTCTCCGATGAAATGCCACGCCTGCTCACATCCTGACTGCACGCTATGGAAAGCATTTCTACAGTTATCACTAGCCACGATCAGCGCCGGAGGTCAACTTGACCTTCGCAATCGCGCTGTTCCTATTCATTTTGCATCGCCGTTCATCCGCTGTTCTAGTTTCTAGTTCTTAGCACCATCAGCGCCGGAGGTCAGCTTCGCAGTTGGGATCAGCTTCTCGACTGGCGAACAGTTTCTGCGCCGTGATGATTTCGCCACGTTCTCGCCGTGTATCACTGTCGCCACTACTGGCGACAGCAACATCGATGCTAGTCCTTGCCACTGTAATGCTCCCGCCTTCTCAAGCTCTTCCTTCCCTTTCCCGCAGTTCAGCCCTTCTCCAATCCCCCTTCTCGCCTCTCTTAATCATCCCGCGGTCATCCACTCGATGCAAGGCTGTCGCGCAATCCTTGTCGCTCCACGCAATCGCTGTCGCTCAACGCAATTGTCGCTCAACGCAATCGTCGCTTCAGCCAAGGATGTCGCTCATCGCACTCCAGTCAAGGCTGTTGCCAAGCCTGTTGCGACGGTTGTCGCGCAAGCCTGTCGCGCAAACCTGTCACGCAAGCCGTTGCACAAGCCTGTCGCGCAAGAATGTCGCGCAAACCCGTCGTCTGTCGTCGGTGGTCCCCGGACCATCACCGCTTGCTTCCTTCCCCATCATAACCAGCGCCATGATCCGCTTCCTCCTTCCTCCCTGATCTCCCCAATGATCCCGTTTTTGAGCCCCTACTACCTCTCTCTCGATTGCTTCTCCCTTCCCCACTGATCCTGTCTCTCGTTGTTCCCCCACATTTCCTATCTCACACATGCCTGCTCTCAGGCAAGTTCGTCCCCCTTATCCAGCCCTCAGTTCCCTCACCCAACACTCCCTGATTCCCCCTATCCTCGCAGGTGCTCCAGTCGCGTCTGACTATAGCGAGGACAGACTCGTCCCCCGCCCACGTGGACTTTGAGTATTCGGACACGCTCTGTGGCACGGCATGGCGGGACGACTACGTCCGCCTGCACTCCGCCATTCGCGCCGCCAGTTCCGCTGCCTACACCCCCCCTCCCTCTCCCCCTCCCCCTCCCTCCTCTCGCCGATTGCTCGCTCTCGCAAATTCCCCATCACCCGTACCACCAACCGCATCAGCAGCAGCAGCGGCAGTCCCAGACCCAAGCCTGTCAGATCAGGCCCTCCCGGCTTCGTCCGTCCGCTTCCTCACCTTCGACGAGCACGGGCACTGCGGCGGGTTCGGGGACTTTCTAGTGGGCGTCGTCTCCTCCTTTGTCGCCGCGCTCTTAGACCGCCGGGCGTTTGTGATCCGGCACGACTGCGTCCAGTACGCGTTCGAGCCCGCATTCATCGACTGGCGCCCGTCCCCTGATGTTCCCATGGAGCCTTCCCGGCGCACGGGTAACCTGAACGAGTCTTTCCCGCCGGGGGAGGTTCCGTTTCTCGATTTGAACGGGAATCGGGTGGATTTGCAGCAGCTGGCGAAGTTTAAGGCGTTTCGGAACGTGAAGGTGCTGTGGAACCGGGGGATTTTGACGGAGATGCTTACAAACGGGACGGGCGAGTGGGCCGATGCGCTCAGGGCGACCGGACTGCGCCCACCGTACGCCTTCGGCTGCATTCTCCGGTTCCTTGTCAGGTGTGCTGCCCGTGCATTGCAGGGAGATGCATTTGCAGGTATTCCCGTGCATTGCATTCAGGTGCATTACAATGAGATACAAGTGTAGTTTTGAGACGTCTCAAAACTACGCATTTATCCCATGCATTGCATTCAGGTGCATTACAATGAGATGAATCGAATGAGAGCCTCTAGACTCGTTAAATGCGTGCATTTAGTTGAGTTTTGAGGCGCCTCATCGTAGGGTAAGTGCGTGCATTGCAATATGAACTGACCTGCAGCATCCCAGTGAATTGCAGAGGTGCGGACTTCACATCAGCATGTCACCCCCCTGCGCCCAGAAATCAGTGCGCCCAACCCAACCTTCCCTATGGCCCCTTCCCACCAGCATATGCTGCCTTCCCACCACTCTATCTATCTCCCCTCCTCACCACCATATGCCCCCTCCCTCCACCATCCAGGCCCAGGAAGGAGGTGTGGCCGCTGGTGGCGCGGCTGATGCAGGAGATGCGGGAGGTGCGGACGGTGGTGGTGGGGGTGCACGTGCGGCTGAGCGACAGTGCGGTGCGAGACCCCCACGCCACCACCAGCAGCGTCACTCCCGCCTCCATGGCTGCTGCTATGGAGCACGCTGCTCCCATTCTGGCCTGTGCTAAGGTGAGCCTTCCTTCCTCTGAGTTCTATCGCCAATCACCAGCGAAAACGTTGCCTCTAGAAATGTGTCACCATCATCCCACCATCATCCCACCATCATCCCACCATCATCCCACCATCATCCCACCATCATCCCACCATCATCCCACCATCATCCCACCATCATCCCACCATCATCCCACCATCACCCCACCATCACCCCACCATCATCCCACCATCATCACCCCACCATCACCATCACCCCACCATCACCATCACCCCACCATCACCCTCACCCCACCATCACCATCACCCCACCATCACCCCACCATCACCCCATCATCACCCCACCATCACCCCACCATCACCCCATCATCACCCCACCATCACCATCACCCACCATCATCATCACCCCACCATCCACCCTCCCCCATTTCCCCGCCAGGCAATGGAGGATATGTGGTATCCCCCGCCTCTCACTCTACGGTGGATGCTCATCACATCGTCTCACCATCATCTGAACCAACCTCTCCCCCCCCACTCCCCCCACTCCTCCTTCTTCCTCCCTCTTTCTCCCTGCCAGGCAGTGGAGGACATGTGGTACCCCGCGCCTCTCATCGTGTCTCAAACCCCAACCCCCCCGGCCCCCTTCCCCCTTTTCCTTTCACTCTGCCAGGCAGTGGAGGACATGTGGTACCCCCCGCCTCTCACCGTGCGCTGGATGCTCATCACCAACTCCATCGACTTCAAGATGGCCATCCGGTCCCACTTCCCCGGCAAGGTGGGCTTCTTTGCTCTCAGCAGATGCTTTCTGGGAGTTTTGTGGATGCTAGTCAGTCGTCATACCAGAGCTGGATGCTCATCACCAACTCCATTGACTTCAAGATCGCCATCCGCTCGCACTTCCCCGGCAAGGTGAGCGCCTCTGCGCTTTGCTAATTTGTACTAGGAGTTTCTTAGGAGTTAGAAAGTCATATCAGAGATGGATGCTCATCACCAACTCTCTATCGACTCCAACATGCCCATTCGATCACACTTAACCGGCAAGGTGAGCTCCTCTGCACTTTGGACGTTTATGAGGGTGAATTCACTTGAAGCTTCATAAGTTTCCATCAGATAAAGATGGATGCTTATCACCAATTCTCTATCAACTCCAACATGACCATTCGATCGCACTTCCTCGGCAAGGTGAGTGCCTCGATGCCACTTTCCACTTCTGTTCTGACTCGTGCCACTCCTGCTACCATCTCCATATTCACCCACATGGTATGGTAGAGGCATCCATATTCACACATCTCTTCACCTTTTTCTTCATGAATGACTGCATCTTGTGTGCAAGCTTAAGGCAACGTGAGCGCCTCTTCTTTCTGTGTCTTGCCACTCCTGCTACCAACCACATGGTAGAGGCATCCATACTCACCCATATGGTATGGTAGAGGCATCCATATTCACCCATATGGTATGGTAGAGGCATCCATACTCACCCATCTCTTCACGTTGCCCACTCCCTTAACCCACCTGCCCACTTTCCATAACCCACCTGTCCACTCCACTCCCCATAACCCACCTGTCCACTCCACTCCCCATAACCCACCTGTCCACTCCACTCCCCATAACCCACCTGTCCACTCCACTCCCCATAACCCACCTGTCCACTCCACTCCCCATAACCTTCCTCCGTTCGTGTGCTCCCCATGGGTTTAACAGATACTCGAAACAAATTTCGTGCCGCGGCACTCACAGGCATTCGGGGACAAGGACACAGAGCAGGCAAAGAGGGAAGCAGAGCAGGGCTATCGAGAGATGGTGGCTGAGTGGCTCCTGCTGTCGTCTAGCAACTCCTTTGTTCTGCCAATCTCAGGGTTTTCACGAACCGCGGCTATGTACTCTCTACGACCAATGGCTATCTATACTCCGCCGCATTACTGCGACCCGGAACGGCCACATCAGCAAACAGATTTCGGGATTGCATACAGTGGGATCTAGGATACGCTACTATATTGTGTTATACTGTGTACTTATTACCAAAATAAAATACCGTCGTACGGTAGGAGAGGCTAGGAGCTCCTGAGACGTCCCAGAATGTGGGGAATGGGCATCACATCATCAATTGGTGCACGACTCAATACCACCCATGACTTCCAAAAATACCTCCAACAGAGGAAGATTACCTTGTTGTACAAACAATTCAGCTTGTCATTGAATTGATCTAGACAACTCCCATGAAGATACAGCAAGTACTGCATTGTGAAAGTGTCCTTAGGCCAACTTGCAAAGGTAGCGTGCTTCATTTCATATGGCGTGCTTCATTTCATATGGGTGTAGTACATCGTTCTCGTCCTATATATCAATACATCACAGCATCACAATTGGGTGGGAGGGGGGGGAAATGAAACTACAACTAGAAATGAAAAACGTGGGTGAGGACGAATGACCTTACGACCCTCTTTTGTAGGCAAAAGAGGGTGAGTAGCGCTTCGGCGCCACCTTTGCTGTGTTGGCCACGTACCCCCTTTCACAATACAAAATTTGAGAAAGTGTTACACTTTCAAAAATTATAATATTGTGAAAGTGTCCTTAGGCCAACTTGCAAAGGTAGCGTGCTTCATTTCATATGGGTCTTCTGAGGCAGGTGCAGTCGGGGCTGGCGGTGCCGCTCGATGGAGCGCTGATGAATGGCGGGTGACGGGGCTGTTGAGGAATCCTGCAACTGCGTGGAGAGAGAGATGAGCTGGTCTTGCGCAATCGTGACGTACATTTCCTTGGCACTGTCGCTTCGCCATCGGCCCATGCGCTTAAAGATCCGATCAGGGACTCCGAGGCTTGCCGCCGCGGTGGCTGCACCTTTGCGAAATGAGTGGGTTCCGATATGCGTGACGTCTAGTCCGGCCTTCCTGCCGGCGTCGAGACACCAATTTCTGATCGTGGTGTAGGATGGTGAGTTGTCATCTGGAGTGGCTTGCGCATCTTTCTGAAAAACTCGGATTAGAGGTCCATGTGGCAGCCTCGTGAGGCCTGCAATGCGTATGAAGTTGCGTGTGCACCTCACTGGGCAGAATGGGCCCGAGATTGCCGCCACTGGGATCCATACACCCTTCCCTTCCTGATCCGTCTTGGAGTGTGGGATGAGCAGCCACATTGCCTCCTCCTCGAACTGGACGTCGTTCCATTGCAGCGAGACGAGGTCGGAGTAGCGCAGAAACGCTGAGAACATGAGGAGGGGTATCAAGCCCTTTTGGTATTCCGCCGGAATTGACGACTCGAGGTAGGGGCGAGCCATGTCCTGTACTTGATGGAGAGAGATAGGTTCTTTGGTTCGGGCAGGACGGGGGCCATGCCGTTTGGCAAATTCCCGTACTTGCAGGGTAAATGGGCCGACTGTCGGAGAAACTTCGCCTGTCACGCGATGTGCGAAGGCCACTGCCGAACACGTCAGGTTAATCGCCGAGAAAGTGGCCTTGTTGTTGAGCGCATGAATGAGATAGAGTGCTAGCGTCAAGTCGGTTGCCGGCAGAAACTCGAGCCTGACTTGATTGCAGAATGTGCGAAATTTCTGCCAATAAGGCTGATATGTCTCGATTGTGGATGGTGCACGAACATGGCTAATAACGTTCAACAATTGTTGCTGGAGCTGAGCCAAAAGTCCTGAAATCACACAATGATAATTTTTATTAGATCGCATGATTTACACGCAAAGCGATGATTGGGCTATGAGGCAATCCGAGTCCAGAAAATGCAGAGGTGTGTGAACCTGGCCGAAGGCATTGACTGCCTTGAGCAAGGGGAATGTGCACTACAACCGCAGGAGCCCATGATTGTGCGGACGGCTGGAGGAGAGGCCACCACGACGCTCCGGTCCATTGGGGTACTATCAGCGTGAGTTCCGCTTGCGTGCGTTCTGCGTGCCGGAGTGTGGCTGGGATCAGGTGTGGTGGCGGAAAAGCAAAGCATCGTTCGCCCTTCCAAGAGACGGAGAATGCATCTATGGCGAACGCGCTTGGGTGTGGTAGCTTGGAACAGAAGCGCTGGACCTGGTTGTTACGAGCGTTTGCAAAGAGGTCAATCGTGTGGGGACCCCAGCGGCGCTCCAAGAGGCGAAACCATGGTGCATGTAAGGAGTAGTCATCGTGGTCTTGCAACTTGGACAGTTCGTCCGCGTGAGCATTGAGCTCTCTTGGAATCCATTCAATTGCGAGGCGTGTGGCGTTGCCGAGGCAGAACTGGATGATTGCTTGGCACGTCAATGTCAGTTCCGAGTGGCGAGATCCCCCCTTGCGCAATATGAACATGACCGCCTGGTTGTCCACCCTGACGAGAACGTGAGCACCCGCGATCTGGGTTGCGAATGTCTGCAGCACCCATAGCACTCCCTCGAGCTCGCGCCGCGTGCTGGACGTAGTGAGCAGCTCGCTTGGCATGCATGCGCTGGCTTCACATGACGTGCTTGGAAACTTTGTCAGGGTGGCACCCCAGCTGTGTGCGCTCGCGTCGACGTGGATGACGGCATCAAACCGGTGGCTCTGGTGGAATGGGGCCCCATTGAAGTGATCGAAGTGCTCCGTCCAGAAGAGCAACTCCTCCGTCGCTCCCAGTGACAATGGGACCTTCGAGTTCCATGACCACGCGGAGTCGATCAAGCATAGCAACTCGTGACTAAAGGCACGTGCCGTCGTGCCTAGCGCGAGCGACATGGAGCTGAGGAATCCAATGATCCGAGCTATCTGGCGGATCGGCACTTGTTGGCCTGACTGGCTTTTTGTAATAAGCCGGTGGAGCTCACGCAGTAGTTGCTCACGCCGATCTTCCCCGACGAGAAACATCCCTCGTACAGTATGAAGCTCCATTCCCGAGAAGCGCAATTGGTGCGTGGGATGCAGGTTTGATTTCTTGGCGTTGATCACGAAGCCTGCCGCCTTCAAGTCTCGGAGGACTTCCGTGCACGTTGAACGTGCTTGGATCTCGGAGTTGCAGAGGAAAAGTAAGTCGTCCACATATGGGATCACGCGAACTCCGCGCGCGCGCCATCTCTTAGCTAGCTGCTTAATTAACTGGGTGAAGACAAACGGTGCTGTCGCCAGGCCGAAGGGCAGGGAGGTGAAGCAGTAGAATTCTCCCTCAAATTGAAATCCCAAGAACTTCCAGCAGGATGGGTGAATTGTATCCTGACTTCAAATCAATTGTAAATAGCCAGTCGTTTGGGCGGATAATTTCTGCAACTCGGGCTAAGCCTTCGTACTTAAACTTGGGCACTTGAAGGTGGGAGTTGACCTTTCGTAGGTCAAGTATGAGGCGGCATTTGTCCCGTTGCTCTACTACATTGAGCGGGCTGATGCATGCCAATGTGGCCTTTGACAAAACTTTGAGTGCGGCACCCGAAGTGATGAGGTCGCGGACAGCACCTTGGGTGAAGGTCATATGTGCTTGCACTCCTGCGTGATTAGGGGCCTCGAAAGGGATGGGCTCCTCGCCCTTCCATGGTAACCAATACCCTTTGGCAATGATGGAAAGGATGAAGCTGCTGTCGCACCAAGAGAGCCACCAGTGCAGGCTGTTGCGCAGTCGCCTTCGCATGACGGACACCATGTTGTCCGTTATTGCGTGCGTATATGGGTCCCAACTGACATCTTGCCACTCGCCGCCAGCTTCTGCAAGTGGCGGGCAACCAAGGTTGAATAGAAGGAAAATGACGAGGCGGATTAAACACGGATCCGGCGGGGCGATGTGTAGGGGAACTATATCACCCTCCTTCCCCCCGCTTCCCCCCCACTACTGGCCACAAGTCAGCCATAAAACCTCTGTCTAGGTTGTGGCTTGAGTGTATGTGCGGTGTTGTTGTTGTTGTTGTTGTTGGTGTGCGTTTTTTTTTTTTTTTTTTTTGGAATCGCCTCACAAAGAGCGCGATGACGCATGTGCCTCACTTGGTCCCATGGCTTCTCCCGCCGTATTTCCTTTAACGGCTGGCCACTTCTCCCTCTCTCTCTCTCTCTCTCTCTCTCTCTCTCTCTCTCTCTCTCTCTCTCTCTCTCTCTCTCTCTCTCTCTCTCTCTCTCTCTCTCCCTCTCTCTCTCTCTCTCTCTCTCTCTCTCTCTCTCTCTCTCTCTCTCCCTCCCTCTCTCTCTCTCTCTCTCTCTCTCGTTCTGTCTCTCTCTCTCCCAGCTCTCTCTCTCTCTCTCTCTCTCTCTCTCTCTCTCTCTCTCTCTCTCTCTCTCTCTCTCTCTCTCTCTCTCTCTCTCTCTCTCTTTCTCTCTCTCCCTCTCTTTCTGTCCCCCTCTCTCCCTCCCTCTCTCCCTCTCTCCCTCTCTCTCTCTCTCCCTCTCTCTCTCTCTCTCTCTCTCTCTCTCTCTCTCTCTCTCTCTCTCTCTCTCTCTCTCTCTCTCTCTCTCTCTCTCTTTCTATCTCTCTCTCTCTCTCTCTCTCTCTCTCTCTCTCTCTCTCTCTCTCTCTCTCTCTCTCTTGCTCTCCCTTTCTCTTTTTCTAACTTCTCCCTCTCCTTGCTTTCTTGTTTCTGCCCTTGCTTCAGCTCTCATATTTGGCCTCTCCTCCCTTCCTTATTGCCACCTCTAAGAGGAGGGGCTGGCTTTTTGATAGTTGGGACATTCATTGTTGCCCTCCCTTGGGGTTTTTTTTTTTTTTTTTTTTTTTTGTGAAGAAACTCTTTTATTAATCACTTCACACAAGGCATAATAGCCTAGGCCTATTCCATACCCAGCCCCTACGGCTGCCTTATTCCATGGCCCTTTGGCATATGCTACTTCTAAAGGCCTCCCACTAGCCTACGCACCACCGGTGCATCCACCTATGCCCCCAGCATAGTGGCAAGGGGCGCCGCCCCATAGCTCCCCTCACACCACGGGTGCGGGGCCTTGTGCGCCACGCCCTCCCATAGGGCAATTGTTTGCCATATGGCCGGGCTGGCCGCAGCGGAAACAAACGCCCTTGAAACGGGGCTCGTGGCAGGCCGCGGGTGGCATGCCCTTGCTTTCCGG